TTTATTAATCCCTAAGGAAATGTGGGTTGCTCCAAGAAGAAATGGTAAAAATAGTAACAGTAACAGACTAAACTCCAAACAATACATTATGTTACAGATTTTAATATTAATTAGTCATTGTCAATTGTTGATTTGTACTGTTCTCATTGTATGATGAATTATGATGGCTGTTTGGTGGCTGTTTGCATACTATGCACACTCTCTCTCTCTTCATATGTGTGTGTTTCTCTGGTGAAATTCAGTATGGTTCCGACAACAGTTTTATGTTAATGCATAATCCTTAATATGTTTTATGTATGTGTGTGTGTGTGTGTGTTTGGGGGGGGCAGAGGGAGTGTTCGCCCTGGGCGCCAAACAGGCTAGGACCGCCACTGTTCACGGTCTCTGTTTTACAGACACGGCTGCAGCTTTTTAGCTTGCAGCCGAACATACACACCAACTAAAACAACACAGTCAGGACCCAGCAAAGACTTGAATGCAGGGGAAGTGTGATGAGCTGATGCAGTTTCGGTGTATCAGCCAGATGCGGTGCTACAGACCACACCCTGCCACACGTTTTTAGCCTTTGCTTCCCTTGACCCAAATTTTTTTGGAACATTTTACTGGCATGAAATTCAAAATAAGATGATATTTTTCATGAAATAGTAAAATTTGTTTAAAAACTCCATTTAAATTAAATGTTATTGAATGTATGTGTGTGTGACAGTGTAAAGATATTAGATGAAAAAGTTATGGAAGGGAAAAATCTTACCTTCATGTCAAAGCAGGCAGATTCAATTCCTTCTTCAGGTGAGCTGAAATATGAAATAAAACATTTTTAAGACACTGAATGGAATAAAAACACGTATAACTGTATATAATTATCAATATCAGCCTACATACCTATATACACAAATGTCTGTTGTAATGTGAACACCATGCTTTGTCAAGCAATGTATTTAGACACAGAATGCAAGTACAATATGATTACAGTGAGGGAATGGGAAACGAAACATGCTGCCAGACTGGAGCTGTTCCCTTTTCACAAACAATAACCCAGGATGTAACTCTATAATTGCAAATGCTTTTGGGAAACTCCACCCTTAGCTACTGGTTTGAGATCAAAAGCATAAAACATTTAGAATTTTACTTAACATATCCATAATCACGTAAAAATCACATTATGTTGTTATGATAGTTTTAGTAAAAGCATTAGCTTTTGGCTTAAATTTAAAATAAATTTAACTGAATAGAACTTCTTGTACTTACCAGTCCAGAGCTTGAGAGAGATCAAAATCACACATAGTTGCGAAGTAAATTGCTGAATTGGGATTTTTTTTTTAAGTTCTCTGTCCAGGTTTTGCGAGCGTTTTAAGTAATTAGTGTCACTTGTTGCACTGCAAGTTGAATGACAGTCCTGTGTGTGAGCAGCTTCCTTTATGCGGCTAGAGGTGGACCTTCTTTCTTTATGTCATCAGAAACCACACTGCTGCAATTTTGTTACAGGGGAAATGGAAAGAATATGCTCTCTGCCTAATGCTACTCATTTCTAGACACACAGTGAGGAGGAAAAAGTTGCATTAATTCAGGTGAAAGGTTGATGTTTTTTTCCCCATTTTACACAACTATTTAAACAAAACTAGAGGAAAAAATCCATAACTTAATGTTTGTGGGACTTTTGATGTCTACTAAAAATGTGTCTAAAAATGTGAAAAAGAGTTTCCCCCTTCCCGATTTCCTATTTTTTGTATGTTTGTCACACTTGTTTGACAAACATTGCTCATATATGTATATGTATATACATATCTAT